TTCATTTACCTTGACTCTCTATGTGAGTTTCTGCCTATTAGATAAAACAGTCCTCTCCCAGTCTTGACACAGTGATCTTGTGTGGGAGATGAACCTCATTAATCAACCCAGGCTGAGCTCCTGCTTGTCTCTCAAACCTTTGTGATTGTCCAAGCCACTTTCTTTGTTCTTAGTGGCTCCCAATAGTTAAGGATGTGTCAAGATCCTTCAGGTCACAAAGGGGAGTGCTGCATTCAGCACCTAGATACAAGCCGATTGGAAGTCAGACCCTCAGGCAGTAGCTTGGAACGTTTGCAGTTAAGCCCCTTCCAGGGAGAAATTGGGAGATAGGTGATTTTGCCTGTTTCCCCTGTGCTGGGCCTGAGTATACATCCATGGGGGTGGGGGGTGCGGGAGGGTACTCCTGTGCCCATTAAGAACTTCTTTGTTTTCTACAGTCTGTGGACTCATGAATGCAAGCCCTATTGGCTATGAGAGCCAAGTGATCCAGGGACCTTTCCCTGAGGCAGCAACTGCAAGGTGGGGTGCCAGACATGTACAAGCTCCTTGCAGGGAGAAACTGGTGACGTGGAGTGGGCTAAAGGAAGAATGTAGGGAAGCGTCTGCTGGTTTCCCTGGTCTTCAGGGTAGATCCCAGCCAGGCCCTACATGTGAGCTAAATTAGAAGCCTCACCCTTAGGCAACAGCTTTCAATGTATGCAGAATGTCCCCTTTCAGAGAAGACTGAGAAACAGCTGTTTCTGCCTTCTGTCTCTGTACTGAGCCCCAGAGGCATAGCTTTGGCGAGCCCTAATGCCTGTTAACAGCTGCTTATTTATTTGCTACAGTCTTGTGGGTCTCTTGGATGCGAGCCCCATTAGCTTTTGGACCTATGTGTTTTGGGGTCCATCCCTTGGGTGGGAGTCTTAAAAGTTGGGGTGCTAAATGTGGGGTCCAAATCCTTCGCTCTTCAGGGAGAAGCTGGGAATTGATAGTTCCCTCCCCATTGTACGGCACTGTGATGGTGGTGGGGTTTATGGTGAGAGTGTGTCTCAGCCTTTCCAACCTGTTTGGATGTGGGTATTTTTTTCACTCACCCTACGTGTAGGAGTCACTCATCTATTTTCTGGACTTCTTGCAGAGACATTGGTCTGAGTGTAACTGTATATTTGGTGTGTCCATGGGAGAAGGGCTGTTCAGAAGCCTCCTACGTCACCATCTTGGCCAACCCTCTGCAACAAGCATATTTTTCATTTCGGGGGATAGGTCTAATTACTTTAATCTGAAGGTCTGGGAATCTCCAATTCTTAAAGTAAACCTTTGCTTTGTCATTATAGTTTAAAATGTAGATTTCATTCTATTTTTTTGAAAAAAAATTTTTTTTTGAGGAAGATTAGCCCTGAGCTAACATCTGCTGCCAATCCTCCTCTTTTTGCTGAGGAAGACTGGCACTGAGCTAACATCCATGCCCATCTTCCTCTACTTTACGTGTGGGATGCCTACCACAGCACGGCTTGCCAAGTGGTGCCATGTCTGCACCTGGGATCTGAACCGGCAAACCCTCGGCCGCTGAAGCAGAATGTGCACACTTAACTGCTGCGCTACCGGGCTGGCCCCATAAATGTATTTTTTAATTGAGGTATAATTGACACATAACATCATATTAGTTTCAGGTGTACAACATAACGATTTGATATTTGTATCCACTGTGAAATGATCACCACAATAAGTCTAGTTAACATCCATCACCATACATAGTTACAAAAATTTTTTTCTTGTTTTCCTTGTGATAAGGACTTTTAAGATCTACTTTCTTAGTGACTTTCAAATATACAATACAGAATTATTAACTATAGTCACCTTGCTGTACATTACATCCCCAGGACTTATTTATTTTATAGCTGGAAATTTGCACCTTTTGACCCCAGTCACCCATTTCACCCACACTTATTCTATTTTTACACTCTTGGTAGGACTATCTATTAGACAGAAAGGCACTAGTCTTTTAGTTAAATACTAAGGCAAAATTATTGTTGTCATCCTGAATTTAATGGGCTAGAAAAAATTAGTTTTTTAAAGTAAGAAATATAGGCAAATGGCATCAAATCTGAATGATTCAAAAAGATTTAGAGTTAAAAAGTGTTATTCCCCCTCTCACATGCCCAGCTATCTAGTTCTCCTAGAAGCAACCCCTGTATTCTTCTAGAGATGCTAATGGAAGCACAATTTTAAGTTTTCTTTGCCTGGATAAAAAATGATGAAGAGTAACCAGATTTTAACATGTGAGACTCTTAGATACTGAGAGATTAGTCTACTTTCTGAATACATATGTTGTATTGGTCAAATATAAGGCATAAGAAGAGACCTGACAATATTCAGTGATGAAAATGACGAAGCATCAGAAAATTTAGGAGTGGAAATGGCAACAATTATAGTTCAAAATATGTGTCAGCAAAACTCTGCCTATAACTTTCTGTACTGTGGCTAGGTATTGAAGATCTTATCTCACTTACCAAAAATGGTAGACTCAAAAATTTTAGTAGAGTATGAAAAGGAAAGTAGAAAAAAGAAATAAGAAACAAGATTAACAAAGTTTGGAGTAAAGACATCATGAGGCTAAAGCAGCACTATCCAACAGAACACTCTATGATGCAAATGTTCTAATCTGTGCTATGCAATATGGTAGCCACTAGCCATATATGGCTACTGAACATTTCAAATGTGGTAGTGCGGCTGAGGAACTAAATCTTAAATTTCATTTAATTTTAATTAACTCAAATTGTAATAGCCACATGTGGCTTCTAGCCACTGTCTTAGACTAGACAGTCTACACTAGATGGTCTAAATCAAAGATGGGGAATATTAGTAATTATTAAGAGAAATTTTAAGATGAAAGATTTTAAAGTTATAACAATAAAAATAAAATTTGAGAACCATCATGAGAGCAATATGTCCAAAATAGAAATTCTTCCACAACTTGACATTTGGATAAAAATCTTTAGAAACTGGAAACAATATCCATTCAAAAGTCTAGGTACAGAAAAATAAGTACATAAAAGGTTAAAGCAAGAAAGAGTAAAAGTTAATTTATATAAACAGTCTTGTTAGAGTGAGACAGGAAAGTGTTAATGATCTGATAAATAACACGGCAGCACTTTATAAATATTCGTTGGACTGAAATGACTTTTGTGATGGTAACAAAGAGCACTTGTTTCCCTAAGGGTACAAATAAAACAGCCTCAGTATGAGAGACTAGTATTACTTTTTTTTTTTCTTTTTGAGGAAGATTAGCTAACATCTGCTGCCAATCCTCCTCTTTTGCTGAGGAAGACTGGCCCTGAGCCAACATCTGTGCCCATCCTCCTCTACTTTATATGTGGGACGCCTACCAGAGTATGACTTGCCAAGTGGTGCCATGTCCGCACCCAGGATCCGAACCAGCGAACCCTGTGCTGCCGAAGCAGAACGTGTACACTTAACTGCTGCGCCGCTGGGCCAGCCCCTAGACTGGTATTAAATTAAGGAAGTCAAGGCACAGTCCCAATGCTCAGAGATGGGTATTATGGTGGGCTCTTCCTCTCTATGTCCTTTGGCACCACCTGTTAGATCACTTACTGGGAAGAAACCGTTAAGCTGGCATTCTTAATTTCCTTTTTAAAGTTGAATATTTTTATGATTATAGGGAAGTGTTTCCTTTATGTAGCAAATTCATAAAATACATAAAAGCATAAAGAAGAAAATAAAATCAACTGACCACCCAAATAACCATCATAATTTTGTATGTTTCCTTCCAGTCTTTTTTTCTACACACACAGACTTGACTTTAAAAAATAACAGAGTCAAGATCATATGGTATATTTTATAATTTTCTTTTCTTTTAAAATTCATTCTCATACGATGTGTTTATAAAGGCAAAGCATATGAACAGGACATTAACTTGGAAAGAGGCTAAGCCAACTAATTAATTAGATTCACATTTACACCTTCATTGCTAATTGGGATAACTTTTTGAACTAAGGTCTCCACAGGTTAATTTATTCATAGCATTTACCAGTAAAAGATAACGTACTTAAATTTTATAAGTATGTGCATATTCACAAGTCTTTTATTTCCCAATAAGAATCTGAACTTCAGCAAGTTTTTCTCATATTGATAGCTGTATTAAAGACAGAATGTTGCCTAAATTAAGAAATAATTGTCTTGGAAAATAAAGGTACAAATAAAACACCAGTTTATGTGCTAATTGTTGTTTCCTTTAAGGAAATTCCAAATTGTAAAATATGCTAATAACTAGAAGAAAACAGAATAAAAACATGATTCAAATTATAATGGCCCAGGGGGCCAGCCCCGTGGCCGATGGTTAAGTTTGAGTGCTCCGCTTTGGCGGTCCAGGGTTTTGCCAGTTCAGATCCTGGGAGCGGACATGGCACTGCCCGTGCGGACATGGCACCACTCGTCAGGCCACGCTGAGGCGGCATCCCACATGCCACAACTAGAAGGACCCACAACTATAATACACAACTATGTACTGGGAGGGCTTTGGGGAGAAGAAGGAAAAATAAAATCTTAAAAAAAAATTATAATGGCCCAAATACTAGTACCTAAAAGATTAATCATATTCTTGTGAGTAGATTTTTTTCACTGGGTTACACACATACCTTCCTGTCCAGGAATTTGAAGATCAAAATTTCTGAGCATTCAAAACTCACTGGATTTTAAAGCAAGAAATGTAATTTAAACTAATTATCAAAATATAAAAACTACCATCTGTGATGATCAGTTGTCTGTGTCAACTTGGCTAGGCCATAGTACACAGTTATTCAGTTAAACACTAACGCAGATGTTACTGTGAAAGTATTGTGTAGATGAGTCAACATCTATGATGATCGATTGACTCTATGTAAAGGAGATATCCTTCATAATTTGGGTGGACCTCAACCATTCCACTGAAAGGCCTTAAGAGCAAAACAGAGCTCCTTGAGGAGGAAATTCTCTTTCAACACCACAATATTAGCTCTTACCTGAGAATTTTCAGGATGCCAGCCTGTCATATAAATTTCTGACTTGTCAGCTCCCACGATCGTGTAGGCCAATTCTGTGAAATAAATAAATCTCTTAATTATATCTACATCTATCCTCCTTCTCTCCTACCGAACACAGAAATGCCTCATGCCTTTCTTTGAGTAATCTATATGCTCTGTAGCTCCCTACTATCATTGGTATGTCAAGTCCACTGCATTTATGCCACTCGAGTACTAAAATTTGCACATCTGACCATCTGACAAAAACCACAGAGTAGTACATTTAACACAATGAGCTCAAACATCTCTCTCTCTCTATCCGGAGTGTATTTATCTCGTCAATCAATCTAGGGATTCTGTTTTTTTAAGGATTTGAGGTGGCTTACACACATATTCACAGGCATGCACACACATGGGTGTGCGCATGTAAAATCTGTTAAAAGAGTCAGACCATGAGGAAGGGAGGAAAGATATCTGATAATTATCAAGTGTTAATGTAGTTACTGTGATTTAACATTATATTTTACTCTGAACTTCCTAATAGCTAGGGCAAAAAGTAAAAACAAAATAAGTTATATAGTTCTTTTTACTTAATAAAAAGAAACATTTATTCTTTGAGATAGAAAAAAAATTTTTCTGGTAGAGTCTTCTATGAGAAATACATTTTCAAGAATGCTTAACTAAGAGATAAAGAGCAAAATAACTGATATCTTAAGTAGAAGCTTTCAAACAGATGCAGAAATGATCATCTTCTAGTCTTTTCACTTATTAATCAAAGGCCTAAAACATAAAAACTAGAACTTGATGGAGGAGCTAAATTTCTGATGATCTCTCTTGATACAAGTAGGTATACAGCATATCCCTTAGATCTGCATTGTTCAGTGGTGGCCAGTGGCCACAGGTGGCCAATGACACCTTGAAGTGTGGCTAATCTGAATTAAGATATGCTTTAAGTATAAAATAAACACTGGATTTCAAAGATTAGTATTAAAAATATAAAACATCTCATTAATAATTTTCTGTACTATTACATGTTGAAATGATAATATTTTTATATATAGAGTGTCAAATAAAATATATTATTAAAATTAATTTTACCCATTTCTTTTTATTTTTTCTAATTTGGCTCCCAGAAAATTTTAAATTGTATTGTGGTTAGGATTATATTTCTAGTAGACAGAACTGCCTTAGATAGTTCTTCCCAACTTTTTCAACAACAGGAAGCAACTGGTCATTGGAGGACTAACAGCACCAAGTTCATGGGCACATCTCTAATACAGCTCTGGCTCACCAGTTGGGAAGTTCTATCCTAGATCTTCTTTAGACATGGTTTCCCCCAGCCAAGCTTTTGAAACGATCAAGACTTTAGATAACCTAAGACATCCTTCTGCAGAGGGTCAGTGTTCCAGATGGAAAGGAGATACTTGCTTCTAATCCCGAATGGACAGTAGTAAGGAGGCCACTCTATTATCAAACTTGAAAAGTACAATCAGGATTCTTACTGGGAAAGAAAAGTCACTGGACTCCTGCATGAGTTAAGCTTCAGATATACTTGTAGGCCAAGACAGAGACCCTGAAAAATTAATCTCAGTACCTGGGCAAGTATTGAATGATAACCCAGAATTTCATTTTACTGAGACTATTTTGGTCACAAAATTTTCAAGTACATCTGATATACACACACTCTCAGTAATATTTCTAAGGAGCATATCATTTTGTGCCAGAGGACCAATGTGCACTCAGGTTACAAAATGAGTTGGCCTGCTGAATTTAATTACTTGATGCTGAGCATTTAAATTTTGGGCTCAGTTTTGTCTGCTAAAGACAACAATTTTGGTTTTGATGAAACTTCTGTTGAACAAGTGATCCCAGGGAAGAGGAACAAGATACTGGAGAGAGTAAAACAGAGAAGGAAAGTCAAAACAAAGCTGTGATCTGCCGCTGGTCAATGCTCTGGTTACCAGGACCCAATCCCTGCTGGAACTTTCTGAGGAGTCATGTTGAATGTGTCTGAACTGCTTGAATGAGCTTGAACTGTTTGCCAAGGGACAGAAAGAGAGCATTATCCATTAGCTCCTATCCCCCATGGGTCAATGGTTACCTGGGCTAACCTTCTCAATATTTCCAGGTTGGTTCCCCACAGACAGCCCATGCCACAGCGTCCAAGCAGAAAGCTAAAGCTACTCAGTAGAGCTGTAGTGAGGCTCCACTTATGATGGTAGCTGCAGCTAGGCTGGAGAAAAAGGAAGGACAAGAGGATGTGAGGTAGAGCACAAGAGGCGTCCAATACAGGGTTCTTACATGCCTGTCCGTTTTTCCATTCGGATTGAGAATCTAAAGTCATTTCGAACTACAGAAAAAGATTATTTTTTCAAAAGTCCAAATATATTGAATTTTTCTAAATATTATGGCAGAAAAAACAGAGACAGCTCTTAGACCACATAAATGGAGAGACAAAAACTTAGTGGAAAATTTCCTAAGAATTTTTGCAAAGCAAACATTCAAAACACCACAGTATTATTATCAAATGTAGATTAATCTTTTAAAAAAGATAGTTTGGGGGTGGCCCAGTGGTGTAGCTGTTAAGTTCACGCCTTCTGCTTCAGTGGCCTGAAGTTTACTGGTTCGGATCCCAGGCACGGACCTATGCACTGCTTATTAAGCCATGCTGTGGCAGGTGTCCCGTATATGAAGTAGAGGAAGATGGGTATAGATACTAGCTCAGGCCAACCTTCCTCAGCAAAAAGAGGAGGAATGGTGGTGGACGTTAGCTCAGGGCTAATCTTTCTCAAAAAAATAAAATAAAATATAGTTTAAATGAGTGTAGAGCTTGAATTATTTCTGTACAACTTCACAACAAATTAGGATTTTTATGGAGTTTTAAATAATAACAATTAGAAATAATAAAATAGCAGCCATCACTTATTTAACGCTTACTTTGAGCTAGGCATTGGCTAAGTATTTTATATATATAACAAGGTTAAAAAACTACTCTCAACATTAATAATTTTCAACCATTTGGACTATGACTTTTAGAGAGTGTTATTAGGGCTTGCCAAAGAAACAGAACCAGTAAGATTTGTAAGATTTGTATATATGTGTGTATGTATGTAGATATACACATACGTATGTGTATGTATATATGGGGGGGATTGCTAGATTGGTTTTAAGTTAATTGGCTCACATATTGTGGAGGCTGGCAGGTCCAAATCTTCATGGTAGGCTGGCAGGCTGGAGACCCATGGAAAAGTTGATGTTGCAGCTTGAGTCCAAAAGCAGTCTGCAAGCAGAATCCCCTCTTCCTCAGAGGATGTCAGTCTTTTTTTCTTAAAGTCTTCAACTGATTGGAGGAGGCCCACCCACATTATGGAGGGTAATCTGCTTTACCCAAAGACTATGATTTAAAGGTTAATCTCATCTAAAAAAATACTTTCACAGCAAAATCTAGACTAGTGTTTGACCAAATATCTAGGTACTATGGCCTAGTCAAGTTGACACATAAAAATTAACCATCACAGTAAGAAATACATTTCCACCACAACTTGCTACATAAACATATGTGCATGTGTGTATGTGACCTAGTCAAGTTGACACATAAAAATTAACCATCACAGTAAGAAATACATTTCCACCACAACTTGCTACATAAACATATGTGCATGTGTGTATGTGAAACAAGAATTTCAGAAAACAATACTCACTCTTAGTAAGGTTTTGTATGCTGTTATTTTCTATTTCATATTTTTTTCTACTTCATTAAAAAGAAAAATTACTTATAAACCACTAAATTGATTTCACAATCCACTAAGGTAACATATAAATTGAAAAACTCTGCTATAGATGACACATCCATTTACTCATGTTTTAGAATACTAGTAAAGAAATGCATCACAGTGACACCAGAATGTGATATTTGAGAAGGAAATTAAGTATATTTGAACATATGAAACACCATGAACATATGTATATCAGAAAAAATACATAAAATCTCTAATTCTTTATTACCATAGCAACAACATACACTTAGCAAATGAGTATAGTATTTTATCACTGTCATAATAAATATTTGAGAATAAAATCTGGCATGCCTAAAGACATAATAAAATCAGAGGCAATCAACTATGGTTTGGTATCCTAGAGGGTACATCACCAACACAATCAACACAATTTTCTTGAAGACCATTATTCCCTCCATTTAAAGAAATCAAATTACATCTAAGAAAAGTGATCAACAGTAATTTATTTTTTTAAAATTCAGATTGTGAAGAAAATCATTACTTCTCCAGGATGAAAAGAAAAAGAAGAAAATCAAAAGAAAATGTTTTGGTGAGTTAACTGAGAAAAAGTGTGGAGTAAAAAAACCCCTAACATCATTTTAACTCCCCTAACCTTTTTCACTCTGGATGTGAGCCCAGTTTTAAAATCCAAATGGGATTTGTCTTCGTGACTGATGATATGACTCAGAAGGCTAACTATTCAGAACTAATTCTGTACACTTTTTAATATACACCTAGTGAATTATGATGAATCTCAGAAGAACCTGAGCACGTGTATCTAAAAATAATGAATAATAGCAATTTATATACAACTTAAAAAAAACCTTTTATAGTCTCCTTAAAAGTCAGATAAAGGTCAAGACAGCAGAAAAAACGTGCTAAGAATAAGAACATGCTTGAACTTAAAACTAAGTTTTGTACAGAAGTATATAAGAAGAATCCTTTTAGACTGAGAGAGGTGGGATGCTTGAAATTTGAGATGTTACTTTTTTTTTTTGGCTGAAGAATATTCATTCTGAGCTAACACTTGTGCCAATCTTCCTCTATGTTGCATGTGGGTCGCCGCCACAGCATGACTGACAAGTAGTCTAGGTCTGCACCTGGGATCTGAAACCATGAAGCCAGGCTGCCGAACTAGACAGGGAACCTAGCCACTAGGCCACATGGCCAGCCACAAGAGACACTTTTTAGTACGACTCACCTAAAATTAATGTTTTGAAAACCAAAAAGATTTACAGCACAAAGTAGCATAAAAATTTATTGCACAATAAATACCTACAATTTGACGGGTATAATAGCTTACTGGCTAAGAGTACAGACTGCGAGGAGCTCAAAACACTCTAATAACCACTTTGATTTCTTACCATATTTTTCTAGAGAAGCAGGACAAATTTTATATTTCTTAGTTTTTACAAAGCTAGAGGTCAATACCAAAGAAAGGACATAGAAAAGGCATCTCTAAGTGTTATGCTATTGTGTTTCAAGTGCTTGTTTTTATTCATTTATTACAATAAGTGAAGTGAAAACATCAGAATACACTATAATAAGTGTACCAAAATTACAATGATGTACCAATGTATGCATGGGTAAATTAACTTGTTCAAGTTAAGAGTTGTGCAACCAGACATAGGATTTGGGGTATTTTATTATTTCTATTAAAAAAATTATTGTTATATTAATTTTTTAATAAAACAAAGGGAAAAAATCAAGTCAAGTCACAGTATAGACCAAGCCAGAGAGCTACAAAAGTGCCTAACAATTACACTGGCAGGCATAAACTTCAGAGCTTCAGGGACTCCTGAATGGGGACAAGCCTGCTTCTTTCCCTGGTCAAAGGCAGGCACAAATGGATTAGGCATGACAGAGGTCAAATGACTAGTATCCCAACAGGGACCTTTCATTGTGAATGGTGATAAACCCATTCACCCGTATCTTTTCCTTTGGGGAGGGAGAAATACTAGTAGGTACATAAAGAATGCGACATTGATCAAGCTCAGGAAATATTCTTTCCAGTCCTGAATACCAAAGATCCCAGAATGATTCTACCACTGAAGACATAATGCTCCTGTGTAAATTTGCAATAAGATCCAATTTCTGAAGGCAATATGTGAATGTTTCTTCCCTGCAACCTTAAAGAATCAGACTAATTCAGTTCCACAGAGGAAAGAAAAAATGACACTAAAAACAGAATCTAAACATAATTTAACAGAGTTATGGTATCTAGCACAGGTTGGTATGTACTCAAGTAGTCTACAAAGAAATTATGTTAGCTATTAAACACATACCAGGTGCTTGGTAAGTAACTAAATGAATAAAAAAAACTATATAAGCACTCAGGGTTTAAAAAGAAATTCCAAAAACTAAGCCACATTGACTGTTTCTTATGCATACTGGTATGATAATTCCTTAAGTGCCTTTGGTATTTTAGAATTTCAAGTATTTCATTTTTCAGTTTATTCTCAATATCTTATTTTTCTATCAGGGACCCAACATGTTCTCTTAAAACATATGATTACAAGGGTTTTTGTATGTTTTAATAAAATATTTCATGTGTATAAATAAATATAGCTAATAATATAATACACACCTTTGTGCCTACCATCCAACTTAAGAAATAAAACACTAAAGATATGACAAAAGCCCTCTATGACACCCCCACATTCTCCTTCCCCAAAGGGAATGATTACTCTAAATTTCTTGTCTATCATTTCTTGTCTATCTAAATGTCTTGTCATTAGGAAGAGCAGTTTCATTAGAATATTGGAATTAAAACAGGTTTAAGTGTAAACAAGTTGTGGACTACGGTTGGATACCTAGAATCCCGAATAAATTAACAAAACGGAAAATGATGAAAACAGATAACTCTTGTTTATTTAATAAAATGGTCACAGAGTAAACCAACATATAAAGATAGACTTATACTCAATTTTATACATCCATAAACGACAGTAGCAGTGGTTTTCTAAATTTTTTGCAAGCTTATTTCCTAAGACTTTTGAAAACTATGTACCACTTGTACATTTAAGCTGACAAATAATGGTAAGGGATGTATTTTCCAGTTTATTGCGTATTGAATGCACGCTTTAAACATGTTTCTGTCAAAGCCTTGGAGCTGCAGTTTAGCTTATTCAATTTATGAAAAATATAACCACATAATTTAATTGGCAACGCCAGTCCTCATTGTCAAACCTAATCAGCCAAATCTGACTTACTCTCTGTCAGAAAAAGTCTGACAATTTTTAACTCAAATAAATGTGTTATCACGCATCCCTATGACAACGTTCTCACTTGTGAATCTTAATTTTAAGATGGATACATGGATACCTAGCTAGCTCGCTTGACAGAGAAACTATACGGCATGGAGCCTTGCCATGAGTTTGTCGCTTGGATGAAATAATCTGTTGCCCCCTTCAATAACTTTTATTGAAGCTTTCTCTGCTTTGCCCTCAAGGGACTCTCCCTCAGGAGAGACTGACTCTCCAACAGTCTCTTTATTTGGTGCCCTGGAGGTTTTTTAAAGCCCAAGGCAACGCACCATAGTAAGATTTAGTATGGACAAGGGATAAGCTTTTCTTTTGAAAAGTGGGAGACAGATGACTACGAAAGAAGTCAGGAAGGAGAACTGGCAGACTAGAAGGAGTTCTGAGGTAGATCATTTGTAGGAAGGACTACATATGGAAAGAGAGAATATGGAAATTAATTTCTTGAAAGCTATCCATACTTGTATGTCCCAGAAGAAGTCTTTATGTACCCAGGGGCAAAAGTATCCCAGTTTGAAAATCACTGATCAACAGCACGGGTTGGCAAACTAGGAGTCACCTGCCACCTGTTTTGTAAATAATGTTTTATTGGACACAGCCATACTCACTAGTATACATATTGTCTATAACTGCTTTCACACTACAACGGCAGGGTTAAATAGTTGCGACAGAGACTATTTGTCTCACAACGCCTAAAATATTTACTATCTGGTGCTCTGAAGAAAAACTTTGCAGGGCCAGGCCAGGTGGAGTAGTGGTTATGTTTGCACACTCTGCCTTGGCAGCCTGGGGTTTGCGGGTTTGGATCCTGGGAGTGGACTCACACACAACTCATCAGGCCATGCTGTGGTGGCATCCCACATACAAAAAATAGAGGAAGATTGGTACAGATGGTTCCTCAAGCAAAAAGAGGAAGATTGGCAACAGATGTTAGCTCAGGGCCAATCTTCCTCACCAAAAAAACAAAAACAAAAACAACTTTGCTAGCCCTCATCTATAGCATTGTATTTATTTTTAAAATTCTTTGCTTTAAATCAAAGTTATATATTCACATAGTTTGTAGAACCACATTGTTCTAAAAGGCTTATTATGAAATATATTTCCTTCTTGTCGGAAGCAACTACTTTCTATTTTTTTTTTTGAGGAAGATTAGCCCTGAGCTAACTACTCCCAGTCCTCCTCTTTTTGCTGAGGAAGCCTGGACCTGAGCTCACATTCGTGCCCATCTTCCTCTACGTTATATG